AAAAAATACATCGACACCAAATGTGTGACCAGGGCAGTTTTACCAGAGAATAGCACGGAAATTATTTTCATAAATACGTTGAAAGCGAGCCCAACCAACAAATATTCACCTATAATAATAGAATTTCAACAATCAGTATATCAAATAAAAATCATACGAGAGATTACCTAATTTCTGAACTCAACTCGTGATGGACAAGTGTGATTGGAAAACTATTGCCAAAGAAGTACTTTGATGGCCATAACTGCGTGTAAAATCGATCTTGGAGGTCTAGTTTATTCAAAACTATTGCACAAATCGGTACTGTAGACAGAAAAGCTGAATGAGTTTTATTTTATTTAGTCGCATCACAAAATACTGTTTGAACGGTATAAGGGATGGATCCTACAGTCACGAGGACCTATGAAAAGGGTACAAAAGCACACCCGGTGGGTAAACGCCGTTTCGTCTCCTGTGTGACCTCGAAGACAAACTGTCACGCGAACTCTATACACTTTAAGCGAGTTTCAAAACAAAGATAGTCTTTTTGCGTAATATGCTTTTGCCAGATGCAAGAAATGTCAGTGAGCAAAGAATGGCATGCGGTAATTCGATCAATAATGAAAACTCAAAGCTGGCTCAGTTTTAAGTAAGCGTGCTACGGTTGGCACAAACACGCTCTCTCACAAAGACAGTTAGTGACATGAGATTGAGTTTCATCGCAGGGTTCTCTTTTGATGGTCCATCCACAGTCACGAGTTAATCAATCAAACACGCCTGACACTTTCTATTATCAACGTCACAAATTCATAACAATTCGGAAGCAACACTGGCACACTGTACAAAGTTTAACTCCTGAACATATATGAGTGTGTGCGCACGATTTTTTAATACCATTCGAAATGCACGGAATTGTTTTGTATTGATATTAGTGTTCGAAAGTATTCTGATCATCGAGCGGTTCTGGACTACATTACGATCAGGGATTAGAGTCTATCAAGGCTCTCCAAAACCTAGTATGTAATCATGAAGCTCCATCGGACTGAGCAAATCGGCCAAAATTTTCAAAATATGCTAAGGAACACATGGAGTAAATCAGGAACCAAAGACCAAGCGTCCTCTCACGAATCTGCATTCGTATCTCGACCATATCACTTCTTCTACTTCACCTCCAAAGCGTACAACGCTGACAACGTTCGCACGGTAGCAGCCCGAAGTACAAGGATTTTTAATCGGTAGCAATGATTATATTAATCTTGAACGATAAGAAATTGTTGGTGAATAAAATCCATGTGAGCAGAATGAAATGTGTGCACAGGCAAGACTTGCGACTGCGTGTAACCGTGCATATCACACATGCATCGGAAAAAGGGCAATGCACTTTTGGCGGTCATAAAGGAGATCGCCCGGTATCATGTGATTTGAAGTCAGCTATTTTCCAATGTGGATAGGAAGTATTCTGTGACTAAAGTGAATAGTGCAGCCAGTTTACTCTTTCTCTTTGTCTCTTGCTCTAGCTCATTGCAAAAGGTTACACAGTGCAGTGAATCAGTAGAATAGGCTAGGCCATAAACGCAAGTACACATCATCGCAAACGGACGATCAGAGACTAGGCCACTTTACTCTAGGACTTGCAAAATAACTCAACCACACACGGGCACCAATGTAAAGCCTAAAAACGTATTATTTTCAGACAAAGAGCTTACTGTTTTATACAGGTGTCGATTGTATATGTCGGTGAAACAGAGCGATTAGGGGTCGGAAAAGTTTGACCACAAAGGTCAAAGCAGGTGGAACCGCTTTACAATCATCGTTCAAAGCGGGTAATTGAGCTTGGGGGAAAAAACCAGATGCATTTGTGTGCGGCATTGGAAGGAGAGAAGCAATACACAGAGACATCGTGCTATTTGAGTAATCAATAGCAATATCAGTTCTTATATTTTTGTTGATATTATTTTGTTTCCCAAAGTTAACTTCAGCATGCGGATTATCGCAAACAGACAGCAATCCGGAGTTGGAGCGTTAAAAACCTCAATACCGTTATCACCCAATCATCATTAGCTGCAGAAGTTCGAAAAGTATTGGTTCGTGTCGTTAGCTTAATAACAAGACGAGAACGACAGTTTCAGTTTCCGTTCGGAAAGGAGACAAAAGAACGGGAAAGTTTCATACGATCAACTGCGGAGACCGACGAGATCACGCTAACAAAGTACAATTTCCACCTGCATTACGCTTTTACCAATTCGATTGGAATGTCGGTTTCATGAAAAACGACAAGCAAGAAAAAACCACGAAAGAAACAGAGAGTGAATAACGAAAAAATCATCCGAAAATTCAATCTCAGAAATAAAATACTTTCTGGCACTCATACAAATGCTTGTCACAAAAATATAGCAACCACAGACTGTGACGGTATCCATACTAATATCTTTCAACAGATACAAGCTGCATCGTAAAAACGGCTGACGCAACTGCCTGAGGATTAACAACTCGTGACCTATCGCCGCTGTAAGAAACCCTTCTTCACGGATGCAGAAATAGCATACGGTATAAGGCGAACTTAACTGGCAATTTGCACAAAATGAAAATGAATATGAAAAGTGAACATAAACCGAGTTCCGTCTATGCCTGCACTTTCGACTAAACAAACGAGATAACTGTGACATGATAAGAACGCTGCTGTGGACAGTTAACTATCATGGTTTTCAGCGTTCCAAACCGACCTGAAGGATAACAAATACCTAGGCCTGTTTGTCTCAGTGTACAGCAATCTGAACAAGCAATAAATAAATTATAATTTATCATCACCAGTTGTACAAAACTGGATCCGAATAGCTAAGCATGCTGTAAACTAAGTGCAACGACAACCCCGAAAGGTCAATGAGCAGAAGTATGCATGACAGTGGATGGAGCACGTCACATCGTGCCGGAACTTAAGCGAACCACCAGACCTAATTTGTTATTAATCGACTTCGAACGTGAACCACATCCACCCCTATCTAACTAATTACGCGTGTGGGCTGTAAATCAGATTCACAAACGATCTCCGCTCGTTTGCAAGCTGCATCCTGCATTTCTATGCGCGAGTCTGTGTGTGTTTGTGTAGAACTCAAGCTTAATGAGGCATGCTCGCCAATCGTGGATGTTACAACGAACACAGCACAAGAATGCAGTGACTCACACAACGGTTGGTAAAACCGAACACCAGTGAACTTCAAATCGATTGACACGCCACTGGTTGCCGACACCGTCGCAAAAATGAAAAATAACGACTCGAGAACGACCAGGATTTAGCATCATAAATGCCCAGCAAAAGCTCATAGACAAGTACGATCGTTTTGACATCTAATACAATGTGGCCAATCGGTGGTGCAGGAATATTGGTTAGGAGATGGTGATCATCAGACATATGAGTCGCGTTTCAACACCGAGGCAGCTTCTGCTTAGAATTGATCGCAAATGTCGAATGCTAGGTACATAAGTCCAGAGAAAAAGCAGTTTACTTTAATTTACCAAGAACGAAGGAAAGTGGTTCAAAAGGAAGCAGGCTTCGAGACCAAACAAAATATATACACTAGATAAGCAAAAACTATACCCGTAATATGTATTGTACTAGATAAGAAAAACTGAACATACACATTGTCGTTATATGACAAAAATCAATATGAGGACAACTGCACTTCAATCAACAAATGAAAAGATTAGTAAAAAAATGATTTCACTACTGACCGTACAGGCGCAAGGATAATGGAGAGCTCCGCGATTTCTCTCTCACACATATCGGGATGGGCACTATCCTGGCGGAAAATTCCTGTGCGTAACTTAAACAACGAATAGCTTTCATGAAAGCTCAGTAAACCACAGTGATAAGGTAGACGAAAACGAAGTGAACCGGAGTATATGAATGCAATCAGTTGACTTGGGTAAAAGTTAAACCATGGTCGTTCCGGTTTAACACTGAAGCTTTGAACATAAGAGCCACGGGTGGGTATTATTCATCATACGACTGGTTGGATGAAGCAAACAGTTAATAACACTCATTTCCGTATCATTAAGTTCAGTTCTGCAGCAGCAATACAAAAATCCGAAGTAAATGTGAGACGGAGTTACAGTTCTTGCTGGGGGTGTATGTATCATATGGAATACGCTAAGCGATGTTATGGAGCAGACGGCTACGTCGCTATCGTATAGCGAAAATGAAGTGAATGACCGGGATCGAAGGAAACGCATGAACAAACTTGAAATGGACAATTCTGGTTAGCCCGTATGAGAGCTGGGTAGCACAATGGTCAAACACACGCATACATCTTCCATGGGGTGGGTTCGGGAATCAAAGCTCAGACAGGATGGTAGATATGCACTACTGACGAGCGCTAACGAAAGTGAAACTCAACCACAGTATTTCCCGAGTGTATGGTTGACCGGATGAGTTAAGGATTGCGTGTGGAGGTAAAGTATTAAGGATGCTCGATCCAAATCAAAATGCGAAGAATAAAACTTTACTGATCGCTCTCATTAACACCAAAACACATGGCACGTCGTCAGTTGACATACGCGCCGCCTGTGGTGATTAGAGGTGGTGGGGGAAACATTTTTTCCTAAGAGACAGAATGACCAAGCCAAAAAGGCACTGGAATCACCGAATCAGAGACGATAAGCTGGCATGATCAGCATCAGGACAATGTTAAACGTCATTTAAAGATGCATTTCCTCACAAAAAGATCTGGGCACGAGTAGGTAAGCGAAAAAAACGGAAAGACTCAGCCACAATATTCGAATGTTGAAATCAAGCATTGATTGCCTATCTAAAGTTTGAGAAAGTTTAGTTTTGGGCAATATAAAAAACAAATTAATCACTGGTTGGTTTCAATTGGTACACACACAGAACAAGTATATATTTAACACCGGCTTGTAGACAAGCATCATTATCATCGTACAGCGAGATACAGTGAAGCGAACTTCACTGATAGCTGCCAAGGTAGACAAGCATGGTGCCAAAAAGATGCGGAACAATTATTTACTTGAATCGATTCAGCGTACTGCGATGCTGCATACGGCCGGGGTAGTTGACCGAGTGAGGGTGCATGCAATTCGTAATCGTACATCTCTCTCAAGGAACCCGGAGTTTCGCCAGACCAATAGGTGGAATTGTGTTGGTCATATTCCGTAGGCCGAGTGGTACGATCTGTCCCCAATGTACCCCCTTGACGCCAAGCTTGTACCGCTTCCGGAGAAGGGCCAGCATCCGCACCGGAGGCTGTCAACCGAGGTGTAGGTCGCCAACCAGGTGGAGACTCATAGTGGATCAAATATTGGCACATGTGAGTGTAGGTGTCACCTTCCGAAGGCTCGTTAGCGTAAATTTCCAAGCCGTATTCCCCTGAGTTCGGCATAATCAAAAGGAAGAGATAGTGGCATTCATAAGCAATTTGCTGTCTAGTTTTGAACCAGAAAAGAGTGAACCCAGGATATGATCAGGTGCAATGTGTTAGTTGATAGCTGTACATCTCATGTCAATTAGTGACGTGAATACTTCGTTTAATTTAAAAATATATATTTGCAGCTGTTTGGAAACCGTTTTTACCTCAAACGAATATTGATACTAAACTCTATTTTTTAAGGGGTGTGAAAGGCCAAAGGTCAATCTACCGCTTGTTGCTAATTAGGAAACCCGACCAATTTGTGTTGATGTGGAGCACGAAAAAATTCAGTCAGATACTAGAGAAAAAAGTATAATCAAACTGCGTGCCAAGCTGCCGTGGTAAAGCGGTTAAAATTATCCAATGATTCACAGCAATGTCCACCACAGAAGATGAAGGTGACTCTAGGCATTCATACCTCTGAAAATACAAAGCGAAGACCGCTAAACGAAACGATCTCCTAGATGACAATTCGAGTTATAACTCGAATTGTCATTTTGGAGACCGATCATAACATCATGTGTGCGTTACCTGAGTGAAAAAGCTATTTATGAACCTTTCCTCTCGTTGTCGAGTGAATGTGTGCTCACCTATAGGGAATTCTGTCAGTGTATGAGGTCTCACACCTCGATATAGATAACGTTAGTTAATTAAGACATCTTAATATTTTTTCACACACGTCTGAGTTCAGATTGTATGCCAAACAAATCATGGTACAATAACCTTTATAAAAAGAAAAAGTCCATGGTTTGTTCATTTGAATAGAATAGAATAATGAACGCTAGTCAAAACAAAATGTGTTGAAGTAAATTTCTTGCCGGGGTAAATCGCAATAGAAGCACTAATCCCGTTCGATTAATCGATCAAAATAGTATATATATAATGTGCTAACAGTGTGGCCTTGCTTAATAACATATCACTTAATCGGCAATTTTCATAGGACACCAGTTACAGATACAGCAATAAACGAGTGATGCAAAATAGACGGAGAATCCACTGTGAGGTTGATTGGATTTCAGGGTACATGTACTGTAATTAGGCAGAAGCTATTGAGCGGTAGTATTTGTGCAAATGCACGGTTGAACTAAATGAAAGGGAATTTCAAGTGTGGAAGAGGGCGAGAGTCACTATGACATAACGTGTAAATATTATTCAATTGGTTGCTCTATTTCACCATATACTAAGTTAACTCGAAAATTATGTCTAAAAAACGACGGATATGTTTGTCTGAACAAGGGTTGAATGTGACCACTATGAACAGAGCATCTTCGTGCCGTGGTATGACAAACAAAAAAGAGCCAGAAACGAGACCGAACAGCATGTGTGCACGTGTGCTCTTTGAGTCACGAGGTGCTGACGAAGAGATAGATGGATGGACAGACAGACAGACAGACAGACAGACAGACAGACAGACAGACAGACAGACAGACAGACAGACTAATGTCACGTGTCTAAGCTGGAAAAAAATGCACAGACGCACAAATGTGATGTGAGCAAAAGATACCGAACGCTGCACCGCATGCACTGGAACGGAACCGGGCACACTAATCTGACGAACGTCCACGATAGGGTATGCGTGGGTTCATACCAGCCAACAATAATTATCTGAGTAGAAGAAGGTACGCGCAACAAAAACAGGGGAGCCTGTGGAGGACGGAACGATGGAGACGGGTCAAAATTGCATTTGCATAACCAATGCAGTTTGACAGAACAGTGACAACACAATACACGGAAGACAGAAAGCGTCAACCGGGTAGAATGATTGAAAAATCTAAAGATAGATGGAGAATGTGCTACCAGAGTGCAGTGAACAGAAGTGCTTATCTCTGCACACATCCGGTGATTCCGCCCCATCCAAAATAATAATCGATGGTGAACTATAAGGTTGTCGGAGATTCCACAATCGCAATTTGCTAACTTCAATGCGATTGATCTATTCGCAGTCTGATATGCTGTACGATTACAGCATGAGTGCAATCTAATATCAGTTTGAAAACCGTTTACGTGATACTAGGTTGCAGTTTAGCTGAAATGTGAAAACAGAATGAATATTTGCGGTTCATATATTGAACGAGTACATCTGTAATATCGTTGGGAAATTTCATGGAAGGACACTTACACAGCCTATGCCCTGCATTAGATAAAACTGTAAAATTGTGCCAAATTGACAATGTCCGTGCGTAGCACGATCTCTGAACCTATGTTCGACAATATCGTTTGATGAGTCAAAGTGCTCCCGTTTCCTATGAGTGTACCACACTCAATTTGCAGTACTTATCTCGAGGGGAAGGGAAGTTGATAAAGGACAATGATACCGAGCATTCAGAACGACAGAGATGGGATTGAAAAGGACATTGGTAATCGGTTGGATGAAGCGAAGGACAAAGTTCAAAGGTCCTGGATTGCTGATCAACGTCATCAAACACCGGATTTTCTTGACTACATGGTTGACCCCTTACAATGTTTGTTAGTCAGCGTTATGTAACAAAATATAAAACGCATTCAACAAAATCTCTATAGATCGTTAATTTGCTTCAGACGGGCGACAAATTCAACAACTATCAATAGATATTTGGCTGGGTGAGTTGGTAAGTACGTTTTGTGTGCTCACGATGTTTGCCGAAGCAGTCAGTGGGTGGAAAGAGCTAAGGGTGGTCAGATTAGGACCTGGCATGAGGGTATGAAAGCCCTGACCAAAGGACTTGCTCACATAGGCCACGTTAGGCTTCCTGGATGTGGACCCTCAGATCAACGTGCCCAGTGGTTAGAGACACTGAGTGACTCGGCTGCGTGTCGGAAACAGTAGCGCTCGTATATCGCCTCAGTTTTTTGCAACCTTAGTCTACTGAAACTCTCCATTTTCTCTTCAACTTAACTTCCAGCCTTCCTATATTCCTCCTAATCCTTCATCCCAATGGGCAGCCGTAAGACAGTAACCAAAACCGGCGAACGAAATTGTATGGTTATTGGTTATCAAACTGAAACTATATGACACTAATCTTCAGCAAATTGATAAAGATCCCGTATTCAAACTTTCTAAGCTTCAAAGTTCAAGCGCTGCGGCACAAACACAGCGTATTTAATTTGCTCTAAGGTCTTGATAATGTGAGTAGCACAAACGATAATGAAGCTTTAAAAGCACTCATGATAGATGCGCGATCGTTGGTCGAAAATTGGAGTCCACTAATACCCACTTCCTCCTTTTTTTAGTAGGTATGTACACAAGCGAAGCGAAAACTTTATTTTTTGATAAAAGACGGCAAATAAATAGTACAGTATCTTGTGTTCATCTGCAATATGCTACCTTCACATCGGACTAACGTGAAATAGATGGACCAAACAGTGTAAAGTAAGAATAAATCTACGCAACATAAGCCCTAAGGTCATTACTGGTGTACGAGCTCACAGCTGTGTATGAGGTCATCAAGGACTATACGGCCGGGTGTTAACATCCCACGCAAGGCGTCGTAATTCAACAGGGATGCGAACCTGAGATAATCGTGCCTGGACACATGCATACACATTCATACATACATTCGCCTGTTTCGTTGGTGTGCTGCTGCTCATAGATTCGCGTAAAACCGACCGTAAAGTAGTCAATCTCCGAGTTTCAACGCACACACGTTTCAGTGCGGTGGCGGTGATGATGGCATGAATCATCACAGACTACCTTCCATTCGTGCAAACCTAGTCAACATCAATCGCAAACATGAAACCGGAGAGGTGCAGGGGAGTGAAAGATCGCGCACATGGACTGACTGGTTTGAGAGAGACCGAACTGCAGGAAGACTGGTCTATTTTTGTCAGAATTTTGTGCCATTGTTTTAACAGTTTGGGTGCGTGGATATATGTGCAGTGAACAAAAATCAGTATCAGTAACTTGGGTGAACAGAGCAGCCCTGAGAGTCAATGGTGTGTATGTGTGCGACACACTGAAGTTTTGAATCCGCCGAAAGTAGGGTGCATCAAAATATCCTTTTCGTTCTGTTTTCATCAAAAAAGATCTACCTTACCAAGGAGGGATTCGTGTGATTGAACCAGCAGCGTTAACAGATCACACCTTCGAAACATGCAACCAAACCAGTTAAAAAGCTTAATGCACTTAGGTTAAATCGGTTCGAATGAGAAGTTCAGTTATGTAAATGAACAAAGGTGTACATGCACCGGCTGTTCTGCCTTAAGCAAATCGACCAAAACCATAACCCTTTCTATTAGATACATTTATGTGAAAACGGTACACGGGATAGATCCCATGGTCACGAAGACCTGCTGTTTGGTGATGAAAGTCGGCAGCCTGAGCCATGAGACTTGGAGTAGCAAATTGCAAAAAGACCGCTAGGTTAGGCCTGGTACTGAACGGGACGACAGCAAAGTTGTCCACCACCAAAGTTGGGTGGCGATGGTGGGGTTCTAAACGCGGACCATATGGTCCAAAGCACGCCGGTGACAACGACTAAACCACTGCATCAACACCACCGTGTTGATCCTTATAACCAATGGTACTAGTTTTGAAATAACCCCTCAATTACAGAAGTCCTTTATGGTGCACGTAACATGATTCATTTCCTGATACACCAAAGATTCTCCATCATCTTTAATCAACATAACTTCCTGCTTCAATGCACAGACAAGGCAATTTCCAATGATCCGAACAGACATCGAGGGCCTCATCATTATCGCACAGGAATAGAAGGAGGACTGCACTGATCGCTAACAAGGTTAAAATGTGTAAAAAGCGATTACAAAATGTATCATTTAGAGAGTCTGTTGGATGGATAAAGGAAAGCAAAGTGAACTACGGTGGTTGACACGTAGAACACCTTGGGTGTACATATTTTTCAAAAACTATGACCGGATAAGAAGTGGCAATCAGAACGCCACTGGTGCCAGCTCGTTGTCAAATCCCTGTGTGCCCAATCAATCAGTCGCAGGATCTCCTACGGGACCACATTGACAAACGAAATTCAAAGCTACTTGCAGTTCAGGGTACCACGCCTAACCTATAGGGGCCTTATGTGGTTCACCACTCCAAGTCCTGGGGCTTAGGTTACCGGTTTTCATCACTGAACAGTAGGTCCTCGTGACTATGAGGTTCAACCCGTCCGCTGTTCATCACACGAAAGTATGTAATAAAAAAACTCTTTACTACGTCACCTGTTGATCTCCATCCAGATGTACAAACTACAAACGGGCATGATGTATTAGGCGGTTGTTAGAAACGCATGTCGTGTGCATTAACCACGGAAATATAAACCAATCTGGAATAAGACCACTAATCAGAAACGTTTGAGCAAAAGCGGAGGAACATGCATTTGTTTTCTCTCTCCTGCTTACAGGCTTTCTAACTGGCACACATTATGAGATTCCCTAGAAATCTTACAATGTCAAGCTAAAGGTTAGTAAAAGGATATATTGGTCACTTTTTCCCGTCGGTTCATGGTACACTGTGCAAACACCACTGAACTATGCAAGCACTGGTGATATCAAGCAACATAAACTGATACTTCTGCAAAAAGACGGCCAGCAACACAGATCAACCCGAAAGACACAAACGGCTAAATCATTCGGTTATGCATGATGATTCCGCTGGGAAGCGACCAGGACCTAAGGACCTTAGATATGAATTGAATAACACAAAAAGGTTGTAGTATTTGAATATCATTGGTAAGACGGATATCGATAGGTGTCCGATTAGCTGCTCCATTTCATTCTTCAAACCTTTTAATTTATTGTAAATCAACGAGAATCACGACAATAGTCTCGTCCGAAAGAAATACAACTTTCCCGATAAAAACTGGCAGCTTTGCAGAACACATTTAACATACACCAGTCAACGATCGGGTGCGATCAAGCATGCTGCGCGTTCAGAGGTCATTACTAGTTCACTGCTTACCTGAGTCATGGTAGTAGTGAATTCACGTAGTTGTTGATACGATGTCTAAGTTGTATGTATGGGCAAGCCGACAGTGCACTCTCTCTAGTCATTTTTGTTCGAACGATCGAATAAATCGATAAACCATGAAAGCACCAACTCTGATGGTATGCGTTCTAGTACCCCCAAATGCCAAAATTCAATGATTAGGTAATTGCAATCACATACAAAATCCTGCGTCCAACTATCGCACGCGCTGATGGGTAGATCACTGGATAAAAACGGAACCATGAAATTTAACAGTGCTCAATTGATACATTTGTATCCTTTGAATGCAACCGTAAGAGGTTAAAACTCAATACATGAAAATCCTATTATTGACAAAAAATGAGTGACATAGGCGTTCTATGCCCTATTGACTACATAACTGTACCCGTAGGTGGACAGACGGTGAATTGCAAGCCAATTTTCATGTACATGTGTGTTTGTAGGTGCGTGGGCGCAAATCCGGGCATGACCCACCTACACATTATGACTCAGCGTTCCCGACAAACATCACGTGTCTCGAGCGCGAATGTGGGACAGAAGAAGTAGTATGAGGCTATGGCCGAGTGAATTGTTAGAACTAAGGAGACTGACCTGGAGACGGGAAAATAATTGACAGGGTGGGGCAGGGGGACGACAAACGTAGGCCCAGGCAATCCAAGTTAGCACGCTAGCAAACTACGTCGTGACACACCGTACGGAGCAGACATGAAACTGGGCAAACAGAGGGTATAGAAACAGAAACCGGTCAAAGATTGCTGACAGACAATTGATTAAAATTGCAGTCAAATACTCGAGGCCGGGTTTGGGCGTGATAGAATGGAATGGAAACTGAACCGCATGAAGAGGATAAACGTACAATCCACAGTCAGATGAAGCGCAACCAAAAGTAATGTATTTTTTCCTCCCGTTGATGGGGGAATCAACGGTTTGTATCATGGGTGATCGATACGCAACCGTAGTGCAATAATCATGCTTTCACCTTGCATACGAATTGTGAACACCAGCCAAAACGTATTACGTTGCGTCACTCCACGTAAGTGCAACGTACACGCGAGTGGCAGAAGCGAGGGACTAAATGCGATATGCGTCTTCTGTGAGACGGAGGGGCACGGGCACACACACACACGCTTAAACAGAAGAGAGGAAGAATCCAGTTAGGAGGAGATAACTGCTTTGTCCTAGGACCAAAACGACATAAGGATAACAAACCGTCACAGCTGAGATTGTATTCACATAAGACTGAAACCAAAACGAATCAAGCAGGTAACCCGTCTGATTTACCTCAGATACAGGTGTGGACGTCAGTCTATTTTCAGTTAGGGCCGGGGGCACAGAAAGGACTGCTGTTTGAACATTCGGAAAATCGTCACACCGAAAACAGCATCACCGAACGGACTTGTGAATGACATTGTGTCCAAAATAGGTCATGTGTTAGGATTGACAAGGAGCAACGGAAGCGACGACATCGTGGAAATAGAATACTAATAGTCATATTGGAATGAGGTCAATTGGATATGCCCGAAAACGTATAAGCTTTCAATGGCGTCTTTGTAAGATCCCTTTTCCGTTTCGCTGACTTTTTGACATTGTCCATGGATCGAGGTTCGCCATAACTATCTCGGTCGATTACTTGAGGAGATCAATTAAGTGGGAATCGTGGGTCAAATACACGTACACGTACGTTTAAATGGAGGAGATCAACTCTTGAATAGCCTACTGTACGAGCAATTAGAGCGGAAAGAACACCGCTTTAGAGAAAGAGCACTTTTAAATAATTCTTCCCCGCAACATGGCAAAAAACTTTTATTTTGTAGCGAAGAGATTTTAAGCTTCCGTTCTTCTTTGAGGGAAAACCCATGCAGATAACAAGATAAAAAGATCTCGAAACCGCCACAACAAAGTGAAAAAACATAGCTGCTTTTATCCATATCCCACAAAGGTGATGTAATCAACTGAGGTGAAATCCACCAGCAACACTTCTAAAGAATAGCCACAAAAAAGATAACATCGGTAATGAGAAACCTAATACACTACTGAAACACTACAACTATATTCGAAAAAAGCTGCTGACACGCTTGCTACCTCGCGTAAGGAATAATATCCGTTTGCTACTAACCAAACGAAATTTCATGTGGACTCGATGTCTACGAGAAACTAATGGTCAGAGATTGTAATGTGAACCACGCAAACCACATTGGCAGACTAACCATGCAGCGTGCCCATGGGAACAGAGCCAATAAATTGCTCACCTGGTTCGGGAAGTGTTACGTGAAATAGCGTCTCTCGGACAGTTTCTGTGACCCTTTGATACTGATCCAAATAGTCATCAGGCACACCATTACGATGAAGCTTGGCCAAGAGATTCACCTCCGGACGATGCTTCCCAAATTGCACATCGATAGTCATCGGAGGCGGATTGCGTTGATCCGGCGACGGAGACCAATCGGGTTTGGTGCAAACGCTAATCACACCATCTGTATGACTTGGTTCAAGTGCGTAGTGCTGTACATGGGGCCAGGCCGGTCCCCAGTTTGCATCATGACAAGTGGGATAGGGTTGTGCATCTGTGGCCGGTGCGTCACAAACAATTTTGTATTCGCACGCAGCCCGAAATGTACTTTCACGGCCCACCTTCAAACCGGCCAATTCCTGATTTGACACGCGAAAGAACGGCCAGTTAGTATTGAATAATACAACGCTTCCTCAATAGAAGGTAATCAGACAAAATACAGCAACCAAAACCGGTGCACGAAAATGGATGGTTATTGGTCGTACAAAGTGAAGCGAACTGAAGATAAAAGCAGATCAAGTAGCATAAACAACTTTCATTCTGATGTGAATGTCTACCTTGAACAATATAAGTCATCTAATTACCAAGTGAATATTTGTAGTTGTATTTGTATATTTTTGTAAGCTGCAATAACAATCATCCATCTTGCCCTGTTGTGTAAATGTCTTCGTTCCTATCTTGCCGTTACCCGCTTAGCTGACCAATAAAGTAGGTGCAAATCAAAGAGTTTCAAGTTAAGAGCATCATCAAAAAAATAAAAACAGTGAGCAAGTAACCTGGATCTGTGAAGAATGCGAGTAGATGTACAATGACACTCAACCATCACGAGAAAAGAAGGAAAATAGACCATTTCTTTTCTCATGAGAGAATAGTTTAGCAACCTCTCTTAACATGGACAAGGGATGCGGCACCATCTGTTTATCGGTCTTGTGTGTAGTTCAGATCATTTGATCTTTCAATTTCTATCTGGTCTTAGGGACATGCTGCATTAAATGACTCAAAGCCCCGGTTTCTTTTCATTACACATACGTCATCACAGTAAAAGAGTAAACATCATAATCCAAGGAGATATTGTGCATGGGAGGTTGAAAGGAACATTCAAGCTAGAATCAGCTTGTTGATTCTAAGCTCAAAGATAAGGATGATGAAAGTAGGAAGGGGTGACCGAAAGGAAGACAGGATTTCACAGTTGTGCTGTTCTGGAGGAATGAAAGTTAGAAGTGCGACACCAGGCGATAGTAACTTGGAACGGGACCTACGAGGAAGAACAAGTAGGGTAGGGATGGAAGAGGCAACTTAAGTAAAACAAAATAGTATCGTTAGAATAAGGAAGAGACTGCTTAACGGTGAGATAATGACTGCAAGTTACATGCTAGAGATGGGTCATTGACGAGACGAATAGCCTTAGGTTGAACCCGATCAAGAAAAAACAGAGTGATGGACGAAACTCTGCACAACACATGGCCATACTACAAGTGTGGGGCAAATCTAAGTTTTAAAAAAGGAGAGGTTAGTGGGAGTAAAGAAACGTCTGGAGTGGGAGAAAAAACCGATTTCGTATGTAGCATGAGAGGCAAGTAAATAAATATGGGCGATCATAAAAGAGTAACATGAATCAATCGAAAGGAGAAAGATGGTGCCAAAATTTAATGAACTAAAAGTTTCGCGTTAAAAAGAAAGTTACATAGGGGAGATTTTACCAGCATTAAAGAGAATATGATTGGGACAGTCTCGAGCATGATGAGTAATTTTAGAATAACTGGGGAATTAACAGTTGCTGCTCGCTAGAAGGATAACTAGAGGTACCGTTTTCAATCGATTTGGTGTAGATCAACATAGTGTGAAATGGGCGACGAATACACACAGCGTACACTTCTCCTGAGAATTATCTCAGTTAAAACCTCATGGCGAATTGATGGACCAGTTCAGTAACTAAATCTCTCGAGATGGTAAGGTTATTGAATGGAAAACGTTATAATTTCCGACAGAGGTGCATGTGAAAATATCATATTGCGCAAACGGAGCAAATCGAATGCGGGAGGTGTGTTATGAAAAGGTCAACCGGA